TCTGTGTGTGTGTGTGTGTGTGTGTGTGTGTGTGTGTGTGTGTGTGTGTGTGTGTGTGTGTGTGTGTGTGTGTGTGTGTGTGAGAGAGAGACAATTGAACCTGATCAGCATCTAATCAGAGGACAGACAGTCACTTTCTCCACAGAAGATGTTGACTGAAGGAGATCCAGTGACTCTCATCTGCAAGGTTTATGATTCCTCTGGACATCCAGTGACTCTCATCTGCAAGGTTTATGGTTCCTCTGGACATTCAGCTGAAACTGAATTCACTGTAACTGGTTCATTAGGTAAGTTATAATAAGCTTCATGTGGTAACTTTTAAATTAATAAGTTCTATCCAAGTTAGAAATGTTATTTAAAGTTAGTTGTGATTTAACACTATGGTAAAGCAGTCAGTCCTTTAGAATATAAGGCTCAGTACAGCAATGTTACGTAGACTCTGTGATGTTACTTTGCTTCACATTATAACCACATCAATCCACACTGTAATTTAGTGTAAGTTTGCTGACTTGTATCGCAGTAGGTTTTTCTTAGTTTGAAGTGTTCATGTTTCCTTTTTTAAAATAAAGAAACAGTCCCTTTTCAAATATTCTGGAGCTGATGCTTTGTATATACTCTCTATAGTCCGTAACTGTATATCTAACCGTTTACGTGCTATTGTTACCACCTTCCCCACTGATGACCTCTGAACATTGGAAGCATTGCCATACCAGCAAATCACACAGAATATCATAACACTTTCAATTAAAGCCCTATAAAACATCAAAGGCATTCTGCTATGGGCATTAAAAGAAAGGTATGTCTTTATGAAATACATTCTCTGTTGTATCTTCTTGCTTACATAATCAGTCCATGCATCCCATTTAAGTTTATGGTCCAACATTATACTGAGGTGTTTACAATTTGTTACTAATTGTATGTGCTCCCCATTCATTAATGTAGGATGGGATATATTCTGCTCTCTCTCTCTCTCTCTCTCTAAAATCAATAATCATCTCTTTAGTTTTGGAGATATTTGAGAGGAGATTTGAGTGCTCACACCAGTTTAAAAAGAAATCCAAAACAGGCCTGTGTTCTTCCTCCCCATAATGTGAGGCTCACTAGAGCAGTATCATCTGCATACTTTATAATATATCTATTTTTAAAAGAACTTGAACAGGAATTCATATATGAGATGAATAATAACAAAGATAAGATACATCCCTAAGGTGATCTGATCAGAGTGATAATTTTATTCTAAATGTAGGGAGATATATGTGATGGAAAATTCTCCGAATTAGTCTGATGGATGGAAGGACTGGGTGAGATGTGAGGGTAATGTCTTCAAGCATTTTATGTACAATATCTGATTTAAAATCTGACTGGTTAATACTTACATAATCTCTCTCTGTGTGTTTGTGTGTGTGTGTGTGTGTGTGTACTGGTATATATGGTTTATGAGGACACAAATGTGTATAATGACATGGGTACTACAATGGTTTATTAGGATATTAGGACACGTCCTGTGTCTCCGTAAAACAAAAGGCTTAAAAAAACATACAAAACGGTGTTTTATGAAATTGCCAGTATGCCAGTAGTTTTCTGTAAGGGTTAGGTGTAGGGTGATGGAAAATACAGTTTGTACAGTATAAAAACCATTACGCCTATGGAGTGTCCCCGTAAACCGTGTGTGTGTGTGTGTGTGACAATCAAACCTGATCAGCATCTAATCAGAGGACAGACAGTCACTTTCTCCACAGAAGATGTTGACTGAAGGAGATCCAGTGACTCTCATCTGCAAGGTTTATGATTCCTCTGGACATTCAGCTGAAACTGAATTCACTGTAACTGGTTCATTAGGTAAGTTATAATAAGCTTCATGTGGTAACTTTTAAATTAATAAGTTCTATCCAAGTTAGAAATGTTATTTAAAGTTAGTTGTGCTTTAACACTATGGTAAAGCAGTCAGTCCTTTAGAATATAAGGCTCAGTACAGCAATGTTACGTAGACTCTGTGATGTTACTTTGCTTCACATTATAACCACATCAATCCACACTGTAATTTAGTGTAAGTTTGCTGACTTGTATCGCAGTAGGTTTTTCTTAGTTTGAAGTGTTCATGTTTCCTTTTTTAAAATAAAGAAACAGTCCCTTTTCAAATATTCTGGAGCTGATGCTTTGTTGAAACATTCTTGTAGTGTCACAGTGAAAGCAAAAGAACCATGACCTCTTACTGCAGTCAGCCAGGTTTTACATGTGTAACCCTATTGTGAGGTATAATGGCACTTAAATCAGCAAGACCTGGGCTCCTGCAATTGATGGTGAGTTGGCTGGTAAGTTACGTGTTTTGTAGAAACTATAATCTATGTGACGCAGTGCTTCCAGTTAAGAAAACTTTTACTTACACACACACAAAATGCTGTACACTGTTACTCTTATAAAATAACGTTGATTCAGTTATTTGTTATGGGCTGGTTTCTTCCTTGGAAAATTACTGTAATCACATCAATGGATTAAAATATACAGTGAAACAAATACAGAAGTAGTAACATGTAAAGACTTATGTATTTTACCTAAATAAATATCCTCTTTTGTTTAGACGAAAACAAATGAAATCACTTTTCTTTATTTTATATATAGTGTCAGAAAATTACAAAATGAACACAGTCAGGGAAAAAAAAACAGCAAGAGAATCAGAGGGCAATGCCGACTCGAATCTATGTAAACTTCCACAAATTCAAAACTGTACCACAAATCACACATTCACCCTTTAAATGCTTAATTGTTCATACACCAAGCAATTGGATTTCTCGTGGGGGGCCCCTGAATTAGGTGGTGCACGTAATAACAGTCATGAATGGATGAAATACAGTTTTATAGTATGCCGTTAAACTGTTTACTCACTCAGTTACTCCACTCTGTTGTGAAAACTCTCCAACTCACAAAGTAATTCCGTGACGCTTTGGGAAAAGGGAAAACATTATTCATTATTAGTTCATTATTAATATAAGCGATGCGTCACGCACCAGAAGATGGCCGATGAATTATAGTTGAGCATCCAACACACAAAGCCTTGTGGTCTCTCTCCTTTAACAAGCTGAACTGTTCCTTTCTGCCGTAGAACTACATGAAAATACTCTGATGCAGTTTATGACGTTTCTGGGTCCCTGAATTCCGAGAAATATTTGAAAAGAGCTCTTTAATCTTCTCCTCATTGGTTAGCATTTGAAAAACCTCAAATACATAAACATATTCAAATTCCAATGTATGAACATCAAATTTTGACACACAGAGACAACAATAATATTGATGCTTCTCATGCACGAGTTAAAAATGACCAATTAAAATTAATGTGTTAAGTTTTTACTAGCTTTTCTCATTCCGCATGAAGCACTAATAAAATAAGATCTGAAACCACATGCAGTCTGTTGTCCTCAAGCTGCATGTGGTTTATTTGGCATCATTGCACCATCAACTAGAAATTCGTAGTAATGTGTCTAATACAAGCTGTTTATTAAAGGGGTCATATGATGCTATTTTAAAGATCATTATTTTGTGTATTTGGTGTAACAGAATATGTTGACATGCTTTAATGTTCAAAAAACACATTATTTTTCAAATACTGTACATTATTGTAGGTCCTCTATGCCCCGCCTCTCTCAAACGCTTCGTTTTCAACAAAGCCCCCTCCTTTGACAAGCGCAGTCTGCTCTGATTGGCCAGCTGACCCAGTGCATTGTGATTGGCCGAACACCACAAGCACGTGTCGGAAATGTAACGCCCCTTACCATAATCGCAGCTTCAGCTTTCAAAGTAAATATCAAGACAGTTAATAATGTCGTTAGTTTTACTATCAGTTCAAGCCCGAAAGGGCAACAGAGTCGCGTGACAGACACAGTGATGATGCAGTACACAAGCCGCGGTTAAGACAGCTGACGTGCTATGATTTCTGACAGACAGTTCACTCTCCTGTGATGTGACCCTGTTCCCCTCACACACACACACACACGACGCGTTACTCTGCGCTGCGCAAGACTCCGCATTTGAACAGTCAATAGCAAATACTTAAACTAACAACAAAACATACTTACAGTCGCTGATTCAGAAGCGCCAGATTGTCATAGCAAAGTCGGAATTGACCCTTCTTTTTTTTTTAGATATAGCCTTTGTGCACAGCCAGCCTTGTACTCTATTTGATTCGTATATTTCTCACATATGAGTGATTCTACAGTAACTTACAAACCAACTTAGAGTTGAGAAATGAGAATTAAATTTTATTATGATTATAAATGCACAATTTTTACAAGAAATATTCACGTGACAGACTGATGTCCGATAACAAATGAAAATGAAATCAAAGCACAGTAATTATTATACAGTGAGAGGACAAGATCTTCTGCTGAAAATTGTTCACCACTCGTTTCCAAATTCCAAGTGACTTTTTATTGACAGATATTTCCACACCAACTCTGTCTGTTGAACCACAGAGTTCATTATTCACTGGAGACTCAGTCACTCTCAGATGTGAGGTGGATCAGTCATGGAATGGATGGGAGTTTCTCTGGAGTAAAAACTCAAACACTGCATCTACTGAAGCTGCAATTAAAACAATCAGTTCAGTGAAAGTCTCTGATGGAGGAGAGTACAGGTGCAGAGCACGAAGAGAAGGACATTACACAGATTACAGTGAACCAGTAACAATGACAATATATGGTAAGTTTTTTTTCGCATAAAATAAACAATAAATAAATGAAAATGATTCATAATGATTCTTAAGACGCTGATTCAGTGAATGTAACAGCAATAGAGAACAACACTTCAGTCTAACCTGATTTTTCTTTTACAATCAAGTAACTGTGTTCATACAGTAAAAGCAGCACATTCATTGAGAATTGTTGTTGTTGTACAGAAAGACCAAAAGCCAAAGTGAGCATTAAACCTGATCAACATGTATTCGGAGGAGACACAGTCACTCTCAGATGTGACATTGATGGTGAAGGAGTCACTAGCTGGCAGTACAGCTGGTATAAAGACGGTTCAAACAGTGTTTTCAGTGAACTACAGGAACACACATTCAGTCCTGTTACTGAGTCTGACGCAGGTAAATACTTCTGTTATGGAGCAGAGAGAGGAGGATCACAAACATCAAACATCGGTGATGCAGTTACACTGACAGTAGGTGAGTTTGATCATCTCTTCATACACACACTCTTTACATGTTATTAAATGAGTGATTTCTCAATTTCAGTTCCCAGAGCAGTTTTAAGTGTTTCTCCACAGAAGTGGTTGACTGAAGGAAATCCAGTGACTCTGATCTGTGAGGTTTACGGCTCCTCTACAGGCTGGACATTCAGCTGGTACGCGGTTTCATCAGGTAAGATATAATGTGCTTCATGCCTTAACATCTGAATTAACTATTATTGTTCAAGTAAGAAATATTATTGAGATTAAAAAATACGGAGTCAATCTAAATCGTTTTATACCAGAGGTAATTTACAAGACTTCTGTGGAAACAGCTTCTTAAGGTAACTGCACATTTTTACTGTTTACAGACTACAGAAATCGTTATAATCTCCTTTCAGACAGCAGCAGAGGAGCTGGAAGAAACTATACTTTCAGTTCTGCTGCTCTAAAACACACAGGAGTTTATGTGTGCAGAGCAGAGAGGTTATTATACAACCTACAGCAACACACAGCCAGTATGGGTCACTGGTCAAACCGAATGAATGAAACCATACTTAAACAATAATGTGTGAGAGTGTGTTATATGAGACACTAACTGATTACTCTGTATCATGAGAAATCAGATTTCTTGATTTTTAATGTACTGTTTCAGAAACCAAAACTCGCCGTTCCAAAATATAGCATATAGCAAATGCAGCAGCCTCTATAAGCTGAGCATTACACTGATTTTTCCACAGGTAATGGGTGAAGGATCTGAGGATCTCATTTGAGCTATTAACCCTTTAACGCCTACGATCACACCGGTGTGATTAGAACTTTCAGTGCATCACGTCATCAACCACTGAATTTAATTCCGCTTTCTCGCTTTGGCCGGCGCGGAGCCAGATTGGACGCGCTGAGCGCTTGTCATATTATGACAAATATTCAGTGTTTTCAACCATATAATGCTTATTTTAGGTTTCAGACATTTAAGTACACAAGTACTAGCAAAACCATACATTTACAGTTTGTAAAATACACGCTGATGTCTATGGAAACGGCAATAATCGAGAATAATAAACACAGAGAGTTTGAGGCTGGACGATTGTTCATCATCAGTGTGGGCATCACAAACAGGATCTACATGTACATTTAGCTCCACCATCACATCAGACACAGGAGTGTACTGGTGTCAGTCTGAATCTGGAGAGAACTATCATCCTGTTAATATCACTGTACACTGTGAGTCTGTTTATGTATTTATTTATTTCACTGGCAGTTTACACATCAATACATAAAGCAGGTTGATTAAACAAGTGCAGGATGCATCAGTGGGCAAAAAACACTCAATGGCAGGCAGTAAAAAAAAAATCTAGATTTATCATAAAACATAAAACCTTTATTTTTTGTTATCATATTTTTCATATAGTCTTTGACTATTTGTCATCAGCTCATGTTTCCTCTGTTCTGTAGCTGATGTGATTCTGGAGAGTCCTGTTCATCCTGTGACTGAAGGAGATAATCTGACTCTACGCTGTTTATATCAACATTCAACCCCACCAAACCTCAGAGCTGATTTCTATAAAGATGAATCACTCATCCAGAATCAAACTACAGAGATCATCTCTAATGTCTCAAAGTCACATGAGGGTTTCTACTACTGCAAACACTCAGAGAGAGGAGAGTCACCCAAGAGCTGGATCTCAGTCAGAGGTGAGAGTCAATAGAAACTGTGAGCTGATTTATTTCTTATTCTCTCGTTCAGATATAGTACATGATAAAGTGCTTGTGTGTCTCTTTTTCAGTGTCTCATTCAGAATCTCAGATCTCTGTCCTCCACACACTCAGTTCTGTACTGGCAGTTTGTCCATAT